TCCAGCTCAACCAACCATATTGTAATATCTAAGTAATCATCTTGAAATATGACATTAATAATTGTAATATACACACATATTGTTGTGAGGTTGATTTCACATACACTACTTCGACATTAGCTTGTCTACATACTTGAGCATAGCCAATTTAAATTAACCTTAGCGATGCATACAGTTCCTACCTACATAATAAAATATCTCTCTACGTTAAAAGGATGACCTTATTTTATCAACCTCAAACAGAAGCCGTTTGTTCTACAGTATTATCCCACTTAACGCTTAACACTTGTCTATTTCGTTTTAACCTTTATATATACAGTCTATGATTTTAACTTGGAGGCTACGATTAGCATCGTTAGCACCGATGTAGCTACCACTCGCTTACACGCTAACCCAAGCCTTAACATTCATTATGTAGCTGATTAAAATCATAAACACTTAAAAAAGTACTCGAATTTCACTTACCGCAAAACCGCATTCATGCACCGTCTGTTTTAACCGCAGAGCGAGTCGTAATCGTGTAAGCATGAAGAACAAACTAACACGTTCAAGTTGTGTTCCCTGGATGAACTGAGCAGGCAGAGTCGCTGTAGCTTCACGAAGCAGCTAGCAGAGAGACAAGAAGCTAACAGCAGCAGTCACTTGACACACGCGTATATATTTATATAAATATATACAATTTCAGAATCAAACAGAGCACTCTCATAATAACGTAACACTATCAGAGACTGGATATATCCCCCCCCCCTCTGGTCGCTACAATGAGGAAAATAAATTACGGGCCAAAAGTTTTATTTACAAGTAGGCCTATTAAAAGTAAGCAGAGGACACCAAACCAACTGAGACCTCTGTCCGCTGCATCTACGCACTGTACCACACACTCTACCCACACACCTACAGCTCCTAAAGCATAACATCAGGCTACAGCCGTTGTGTATTTTATTAAGTGAAGCACTAAATGGTTTTAGAAAAATATCTACTCTTTGTAGATCTACTAAACTAAATCAAATAAAGAGAGTGGGCCTGTTATAATAATACATTTTATTTCTATTGCGCTTTTCTTGAACCCAAAGACGCTTTACATTTGGGAGGGAGGGTAGACAAACAAAACAAAAACAAAGCCAAAAAGAAACAAAGTTATACTGAGTGATATATTATATACACTGCTCTGCTTTCTGCAAGGACCTCACAGCTGTTCTCACTGTAAACATCGCATCGCGATGAAAGCAGTTAATAAAATAATATCCAGGGGATGCATGCAGAGCTGTCATTGGCTGAGATAAGTCTGGCCGTGCGTCATGACTCTTTGAACAACACATCCTCACTCCCAGGTCGGCCTATGTTGACGTTATGTCAAGTCCCCTGTCGGTTTTTCCAACGCAAGGGGGGGGGCCTTAGCGTCCATTTTCAACGCAAGGGGGGGGCCCTTAGCGTCCATTTTCAGCTTTCCGGGATGTCCATATGCTTCTATGGACGCTCATGGAAGCACGACATTCGTTGTGTCGGCTGCCCTTAAAGGCAATGTGAGCGTCCATTCTCATTGGATAACGGAGAATTGTACACCCGGAAGTAAGTATTCCCCTTACTGTCGATTGATTTTACAGTGATATCTGCACTACTCATCGACTAAAAAACACCAGATTATCCTTGTTAATTACACAACATTGATTGGTTTAAATTGTGTGCAATGCTTTTGTATTTTTCCCCTTCGATTCGGAGGAAAACAAATATGTTTTCGGAGTAAAGGATGGCAGAAGACACTACACTACCCAGAATCCCCAGCTATCGTTTGGACTACCCATGTGCTCTGTTTGACGTCACGTGATCTTCAAATTTCTCCCTGCAGAAAAAAAAAACATGGCCGAACTTCGTTTTATTCTCGATGGAAAAATGCCTATTTTAAAGTTAGTTGGCCATTCAAATGCGTTTTGATGTCATTTGATGCGAGAAATATGAGTTGTTATTTCAGATGATGTGTGCAGTGGATGTACATGATCTTTAGTTTGCTAGTTATTACGAAGATTACTTCAGGAAATTGCGTCCATAACGTTTTCATTGTTACCAAGGTGGTTGCTAGGGACGCTGCTATCGATATTATTTCTGTTATGTTGTGTAACTGTTAATGGTGTTATCTTTATTGTTACCCCCTTCCCCGTCAATGTATAGTGTTGGTCCACAGCGCAAACATATTAGTTTAACAAAATCCGCATCTAAAGATAGCCTACGTTATTTCCCCCTGTGCAATTCCAGTCTCACATCTCACAGCACATCGTCATTAACAAATAACGGAAACAGACCGAAAACATTTTTCAAAAATACAATAATACTTTATTCCGAGTGTGCTTGCTTTCTCTTTGGAAGTCATCACATAACGGCATGGTAATACACGGTTCGGCTGCATTAATATTACATATCTGCCGTAGTTCTGTATTTATATAGCCCTGATGAGAAGACTTCTAGACAAACATGAGGAACTGAAAACGTGACGTGGATCATAAATATATCAGCCATTAAACAACATCTTACATTTCTTTTCACACAATACGTCTCCTTGCAGTATCACACTAATTCGGCTGACTTTTATATTTGATCCAATTGGTAGATAGGCTGTATTTACACCATAAAGGTGCACAGCTGATATAAAGGGACACCTAGTGGTTAAAGCATGTTATTGAATTTCATTATTTTTATTATTAGATATTAATAGGACCCCTATAAAGTATATTAATTACTCGTTATTCTCTACTAATAGTTAATTAAAGACTGTATATAATGACTATTTTGCACATCCCTTTCAAGATTTCAAGATTTTCTAAGGTTTATTGACATATCATATAGGCCTACACAACTATGGTGTAGTTCTGCATTGAATGAAAAACTTGGGTCGCAGGTTCCTCAATAGTGCATTACAAGACATCTATCAATATTTGTGCGTACCTTCAGCAATGTTAACTATGTTGAAGCACTTATTTTAACTGATATTATACATAATGTATTACTCTTATAAGATGTATGTAGATATTACATTTCCGACCTTGTCAGGTATTGAACAATCAATAAATAAAGAACACAGAATTGTTGAATATAAAACACAGAATTTGTGTGATTATACTAAATGATTTACAAATAACACCACTGCATATTTAACTGTTACACATGCTGATGTAATGCAAATGTTCCAACTTGAGATCAATAAAGTATATCTTATCTTAAGCTGATCGATGGCTACTGCCATATTTGCAAAATGTGCCTCTGAACCTTAACAAGTGCATGTTTCAGGCTTATCAATTAATGTAATGTAATGTAATGTTATCAATTAACAACAGGGGTCACAAACATAAGACCAGCTGTTAAATAAAGCTCTTCTGACCTTAGCTGGCATGTGTGTATATATATATATTAATGCTGCCCATTATGGGCACAAGCAATTTTCACCCATTTATTAATTATATGTTTTAAATGTGAGTGTTTCCTATCCCCTAAACCTCCAGGGATGTACACAGTTTAATACTGGCAACTTCTTATTATGGGAAATACGAAAACGTCTTTTAAAACTACAACTCCCAGTAGAGACGTGCCATAGATACAGAACATGTTGCGAAACAAAATAGCCAGCATTTGTAGTTCTGGGGACAGGGTGGGGGAGGGGGGACGCGGTGGACCCGTTTCAAATCCAGTTTTGGACAGTCTGCCGTGATTCCATCCCATTTCAAGTGCTGTTCGAGGCTCGGCGTAACCCTCGGAGCACACTCTCCAATCACAGAGCTTGAGGACTATCACGGGGTTTGTCAAACAGAGCACATGGTGTAGTCCAAACGATAGCTGGGATTCTGGGTAGTGTAGTGTCTTCTGCCATCCTTTACTCAGAAAAAACATTTGTTTCTCTGAATCGAAGGGGAAAAATACAAAAGCATTGTACACAATTTAAACCAATCAATGTCGTGTAATTAACAAGGATAATCTGGTGTTTTTTAGTCGATGAGGAGTGCAGATATCACTGTAAAATCAATCGACAGTAAGGGGAATACTTACTTCCGGGTGTACAATTCTTTGTTATCCAATGAGAATGGACGCTCACATTGCCTTTAAGGGCAGTCGACACAAACGAACGCCGTGCTTCCATGAGCGTCCATAGAAGCATATGGACATCCCGGAAAGCTGAAAATGGATGCTAAGGGCCCCCCCCTTGCGTTTAAAATGGACGCTAAGGCCCCCCCCCCTTGCGTTGGAAAAAGCCGACAGGGGACTTGACATAACGTCAACATAGGCCGACCTGGGAGTGAGGATGTGTTGCTTTGAAACATCTATTTTGCCGGAAATGCATCCACGGAGGAGCCGTGGAGGAACCATCAGTGTATCCTCGATTATAGCTCCTCGATGCTCGATGCTCGGTCCTCGATGTGCATTTAGAGAAATGAGATGTCCTTCAACATGGCGCGCTGAAATCCATTTCCGGGTCACAACCGGAGGACCGAGGAGTCGAGGAGTCGAGGAGTCGAGGAGGGAAAATTTGAGTATTGAGAAATCTCTCTAGACTCAGAATAAATCACACAGCTTTGAATGGTACGCTGTATATCATGGGGAAAAGTGACAGTGACAAGTGTGGGAACTGTGGAGTAAAAGAAGATGTAGAACATATCTTGTTATACTGTGACATCTATAAAGCGGAAAGAGAAAAACTAAAGGCTAAAGTTTTAGAGGCAGAGAGGGAATGGAGTGTGGTTGGTGTTTTGGGAACAAAGGAGAGGGAGTAAGAGCTACCAGAAAGGCACTGTTTACATTCTTAGGTCAGGAAAGAACATAGATTTGTATTTTTTTGTATTTAAAAAAAAATGTATTTCATGGTTTTGTTGATTTATTAATTTTTATTAGATCATAGGTTAAATAGTTGGAATGATATGATGATTCATACTCATGTACAGTAGGTGGCGGTATGCACCTTTTAAGTTGTTTGCAATCCACCAAAAACGAGAGACGAAGAAGAAGAAGAAGAAGAAGAAGAAGAAGAAGAAGGAGGAGGAACGGAGTTGCAACGCTATTGTAAGCAGTGTATGTGATTGAAAGTATGTCTAAAGTAGACATGTTTGAGGGAGGTGGTGAGTAAGCGTCTCACTGCGGCGGCTTTAGAGATATTCGGGCTGTTTGAGAGAACCGTGGCTGAATATGAAGAACAACTCTGTCGTTCTAAAGAGGAGAACGAGCGGCATCGGAAACTTCTGGACGCTGTTCTGAAGCCGGAAGTCCGTTTACACAGAGCAGGTCAGAAACTAAACTTCGTAAACTACTGTTTGTTCTATTACTGTGCCATTACCCTGCTGAAAAAACCCGCTTAGACCAGCTAAGTTGACCAGCCTGACCAGCTAGTAGATGGGGTTTGGACACTTTAGCTGGCCAGGATGGCTGGTTTAGCTGGTGCCAGCAAAACCAGCTAAACCAGCCATCCTGGCCAGCTAAAAAAACAGCATAGACCAGCATGGCTGGTCACCAGCATCCATCTATCACCAGTTTATGTTTAATAATAGTATTAAATATACCATGCTGGAAGCTTACCAGGATTCCAGGTGACCAGCATACATTGTTTATGATTATTTAAACCAGAGAACATACATACATTACAAATATTAATTGTGTCATGTATTCTGGTATCTACCAAAATAAAGACATTGTATAGTGTTCATAACAGTATTTTAATGTAATACATAACAATACATAGCTAGTTAATATAATAAAATACACAGTAACAATACAATAATTATACAAATAACAACCAACCGTCAAATACGACGCTGAAGTTGGCTTCCGATTCGGCAGTTAAGGGGAAAGTTAAGGGACATTTAATTTACAGCGCTGAGCAGTGGTGTAGTGGGGATTTTTTTACTGGGGGGGACGCTATTTTAATTAGGTCATCCCAAACAATGCCACACAAGTGCGCACGCACGCAGTGCACTCACAAAACGGGCAGACAGGTCCACAGAAACTACCGGTATGCTTGGCCGAGGCTATATACAGGACGGTCCTGTACACAACGCCAAATGGCTATATACAGGACCGTCCTGTACACAGCTCTCTGAAATGGCTATATACAGGACGGTCCTGCACAGAAGCCCTGAAATGGCTATATACAGGACGGTCCTGTATATAAGGTCTCTGAAATGGCTATATACAGGACGGTCCTGTATATAAGGTCTCTGAAATGGCTATATACAGGACCGTCCTGTACACAGCTCTCTGAAATGGCTATATACAGGACGGTCCTGCACAGAAGCCCTGAAATGGCTATATACAGGACGGTCCTGTATATAAGGTCTCTGAAATGGCTATATACAGGACGGTCCTGTATATAAGGTCTCTGAAATGGCTATATACAGGACCGTCCTGTATACAAGCTCCGAATGGCTATATACAGGACCGTCCTGTAAACAGCTCTCTGAAATGGCTATATACAGGACGGTCCTGTGGATAAGATATCTGAAATGGCTATATACAGGACCGTCCTGCAGCTAACGTCAAATGACTATATACAGACCGGGCTATTATAGCATGCTTAAGCAAGTTTCGCGGGTGGTAATGTAGGGATAGGATTTACAGATAAATATTCTCATGACAACATTATTTTCAATGAGTTTCCCCTCAATATAAAATGGTGGCAATTAAATCTCTTTCCATGCCAATTGCTTAGCTTTTTATGCTGATTTCAGTCTTTTTTTTGGCTTATCTTTTTATGTTGTTTCAATCATTTTCTACTTTATATTTTCCAATGCACAATGTTTTACTTGTAAAGGATATCACTGCATACTTTAAAGAGATACTCGGTTTTATTCAAACTGAAGTTTTTTTTTAAAGAATACGCCGACATTTCGTTGACGTGTGATTTTGCATTGAAAGCAACACAAATCATTTATCGGCTACGCCGGCATTTTTATTTTAGAAATCGGAGAAACCGTATTTTGAATTGTATGTAGTATGCTGTACATTTTTGTAATTTATCCTGCTGTAAACGTTAATTGTACACCAATTATATCCATATTTCTGTAGACTACATAAAAAGCGACTCGATTTTTCTGCCGATTAAAGAAGTGAAAATCCCATGAAATGTCAGGTTTCATTTCTAAAATTGGTGAAGGTCACCCTCTGGTTTCAAACTAGGGCTGCAACAAACGACTAATTTGATAATCGATTAATCTATCGATTAATGAAACGATTAATCGATTATTCGGATCGTTAAGGTTTTAACTGTACTACTACTTATATCGATACTGCTTATCGATCCGGTCCTTTTAACGATAGTATTAACGGTTCTTTTGACAAGAAATAAGGTAAACTAACTAAACAAATTGTGAACAAAACTAACATTGCTTTTTATTTTAATTAAATGCATAATATTTCACATCAAAAGAAACAACAATGTTTTAACAAATCATATTAAATAATCTGATGACAGAACTGTAAACAGAATAGCTGAAACTTTAACAAAATAAATAACTCAGTTTCCTCTAATCATTAACCCATGTTTGTATAATTGAGTTAACTCTGTGTGTTGCTGCTAGCATACATAACACCTGACGTGGAAACGTTACTCGTGGACGGGGCTACAGAGCTACTAGAAAGACAGTGGAACCCGGTGCATTCCTCCGTCTGAATGTGGAGCACTTTTGATAAATGTTTAGACAAATTGCTCGTGTTACCGCCCTTACATGCTAAACTCTTATTGCACTTTTGGTAACGAGCATTGTCCACATCGAGACGGCTAAAGTTTAACCACACCTCGGAGCGCGTTCTCTCCGCCATCTCCTCCGTGTGTGTGTGTTGCTGCATGTAGCACTGCGTGTGTGTGTAAACTGCCCCGCCCCCTCGCAAGCAGGCGGGGGAGAGATCTCTCGCCTGAATTGGGAAGAATCGAAAAATACATTATAGACGCATTTTATAGTCATATTGCATATTAGAAACGAGTTGGCGACACTAAGACTGCGATATAATGGTTATGTAGCAATAATACATATGACATATTTTTTAATGTCTCCTGTACGGGTCCTGTATATAGCCATTTCAGAGACCTTATATACAGGACCGTCCTGTCTATAGCCATTTCAGAGGTTGTGTACAGGACGGTCCTGTATATAGTCATTTGGCGTTGTGTACAGGACGGTCCTGTATATAGCCATTTTCAGAGACCTTATATACAGGACCGTCCTGTATATAGCCATTCAGAGGGTTGTGTACAGGACGGTCCTGTATATAGTCATTTGGCGTTGTGTACAGGACGGTCCTGTATATAAGCCATTTCAGAGACCTTATATACAGGACCGTCCTGTATATAGCCACTCCCGGTATGCTTAGTCCTACTTTAGTTTACTGTACTGCAAAAGCAGACGGCGCTGCGCTCAACACACACACAGACTCAAAACCATGGATACACTGGCACATAAGTTACATAAACAATTTATAGGCCTAAATTGCAGAAGCAACAGTATTGCAACTAAGCAGACAGTGCAGGTTCTCTCTCTCTCTCTCTCTCTCTCTCTCTCTCTCTCTCTCTCTTCTCTCTCTCTCTCTCTCTCTCTCTCTCTCTCTCTCTCTCTCTCTCTCTCGCTCTCTCTCTCTACTTTCAAAATCTATTTAAAACTCATAACAAACAAACAAAATGTCCAAAGTTGTCCTGAAATTAACTTATTAAATAAACAAAACGAAAAAATATAGCCCATACTTATGCAAACAAATTGAATCTGGACTTGACATTATTCTGATTAGGTCTAGCCTACATTGCAAATAAGCAGACAGCGCCAGTGCATGACATTAAGGATTTTGGGAGATGGCCCTGTGGGCCATCTAAGCTAATTTACAGATGGCCCTGAGCCCAATAGAGATTGCCCTGAAAAATGCGCGCGGACAAAATGACGCACGAAGGGTTGGGGGGCCTCCCCCTAGAACATTTAGATTGTTGCAGGTCTTAGATGCCGTCTGGTGCATTCTCTAGACTGAATTATAAGATGAACCACCACAATATTATATTGTACAATTTCAATTTTATTTTTAATTTCACTTGTTTGTTTGTTCTTGTTTGTGTTTGCTCGCTTGCATGCCCTGCATAGCTTTAAGAAATACTTAAGTTGTTGGTCAAGACACTTTCCATCTGATGAAGGCAAATGCCTTCCCAGATGTAAAAAAAGTAGAAAACATTACATTCAGTTATAACTGCCAAAACAAACATTATTTACACTATTATGGCCCCTGTTAAAAATGTTTGTAATGTTATCTAAATTGGTCGAACGAATGCCTCCTCATCCGGAAGCTGACCGAGCAGACCCGAGCAGACCCGAGCAGCAGTTGAGAGGAGCCGAGCGCATCCGCGAAGCACACAAAATGGCGACGTCAGAGTTCCCGTTAGCCGGCAAATCTAAATATCTTCGGTCAAAATAATTTCCCTTTAGCGCAATACCGCTTCAGTTGCGCCACTTATGTGACAGACAAGAAGAGTATGTGACAGACATGAATAGTCAATTCTAATGTCTAACACTTAATGTGGAGAAAGAGATGTCCTGTGTGGGTTGATTGTGCGTTGATCTGTTGGTAATGCCTCGGGGTTCCGGTGGGCATGTAAACAAATGCATAATGCTGCGCTATACTTTGTGGCCTCACCCGGTTGCATAGCAACACTTATTGTTTAGGTGTCTTTTAATAAGCAGGTAGTCATATCATTAGCTAGAACTAGCTGGATCTGATCGATATGGACATAAACGCGAGTGAAGTCTAATCTGACGGGAGAGAGAGATCAGCTGCTGCTGACGAGTCAACACGCAGCTCTGCATGATCACATGCAGCGGTGAGCGGATAAAACACACACTTTAGGTTAGAATATCACACGTAGCTATTTTAATTACCTCTCAAACTACCTAAACTAGTTATAGATAAGTTTAGTTTTACTGTCGGGTCACTCATTACTGGATCCGCAAGCTGCATGATACTGGCATAATAGATTGCCCGATCGGGCAACCAGCAGGTGAGGCTTCATTGCCCGAGCTAATACTAGATGGCCCCGGGCCATCGGGCAGTCCTTAATGTCGAGCCCTGAGCGCTGCTTTTCACACACACACACACACAACACACACACACACACACACACACACACACACACACACACACACACACACACACACACCTTGCGTTTTGAAGACTGATAAATCCGAAATGGATGAACAGCAGCCCAGTTTCCCAGCTTTGCAGTCTATCCACGGGTAGCCTCTTGTTTCCTCCGCCACATC